CTTCCACATATCAGGTACTACTGTACTAGGCAATGGAGAAAAAAAAAATACAGAGAATAAAATAATCATTATAATGAGAGAAACAAATATATACATACAATGTAAATGTAAAGTGAATAAATACAAATGTGTATATATAGGCATCCTAAAAGTCTTAGTTCGGTTTTAAGCTTTAGTAGCTTCAGAAATATAAGTACTACATATATAACCTATACCAAATTGCTTACCATTTTAGGAAGAGGGGAGGAAGAAAAATTTGGAACTCAAAATCTTACAAAAATGGATGCTAAAAATTGTCTTTATGTATAATTAGTGAAAAATAAAATACTATTTTAAAAAGTTAAAAGAGAAATATAAATACTACAAATTTATAAAATGTACTTTAAAAGTTATTTAAAATTTTTAACATGATGTTTAATTGATTTTAAAACTTTGTAAAAACTTTTATCAGCTGCTGCTTAGTGACTGAAAGGATTGCATTTGTAATCTTGCTTGGCCTTATGAGCAAGGTTTGAAATACAACAGCTTTGACATGACCCCACAAGTAAAAGTCTAATGGAGATAGATCAGGTGACTGAGGTGGCCAAGCCAGGGGACCTCCTTTACCACCCCACTGGTTTGAGAAAGCCTGTGCACCCAGTAACTCCATATGAGGCAAAAAGAAAAACTGCATAGAGCCAAAACCAATAAGTGGGGGGAGAGAGGGCAATCAGGGACCTCCTTTGATCAGCTCCCTGCACAGAAGTCCCACACGAAGTTGACCTCTGGGTTAATTCATTAAATTGATTGGAGAACTCAAAACCACAGGATTAAGGGACTTCCCTGACTAATTTCATAGAATCTGTGAAATTAGGAAACTCCTTTGATCAATCCCCCTATATCAGGGTTACAAAATTAGACTTGGGCTATGCAGCTCGGTGTTTATAAACCATGTGTTGAAAGGGCTTGAGAAGTGGCAGGAATGAATGAGGTAAGGTAGATGGTGAACCAAAGGAAGAACTTAAAAAGACAAGTTATGAGTTATCGAGGCATTCTTGTTCTTAATGTTCTGCCTCAGGATGACCCTTAAATCTTGCTCTATTGAGTGTCCCAGTATATACAGAACCCACCTCTTGCACCAACCAATGGGGCTCAGCCTTTCCTCTTTTGGCTGGGTAAATGTGAAACAACCAAACTGCCACTTCTCTCATTCCTTAGAGCCGATCAGATTCCTGTCTGAGGATGGCTCAGGTGGTAGGGATCCAGCAATAACAAGAAAGTATTTTGCTTGGAAACCTGCTTTGGCTTGGTCGTGGGAGAGGGATGTAAGCCCATCTGAAGATTATAGATTAGGTTAGTTACAGAAATGCCTCTGCTTATATTTCAGTGGGATGGGGAACAAACAGTCTGGGTAGGGATAGACACCTTCCAAATGTAGAATACCAGGCCATTTGACAGTCTCTTGGCATTCATACCATACCATTGTAACATTTCCCTCCCAACATCTGGAAAAGAAGGGTTTTTCCCTGTTCTTATAGCCCTTAAGCAAAACATTCCCTAGGTCTGAAGATTAAGGAAGAGGGATGTCCCAAGCATTCTGCCTCTGAGGCTTCAGCCGAGGCTCTGCTAGTGCCACTAGCAAACCCAAGCCAGTAGAGCGTGAACAATGGGCTTTGTGATGTGGTCAAGCCTGGTGTCTCAGAAGGCCAGTTCTCTGAGGGTAGAAGGCAAAAATAGACCTCCTTTGCTGAAGCAAGGGAAACCTCCAGGGAGAGGACACTTTCCTACTACTGGGAAAATGGTGGAGGGACATGCAGAGAGGTGCTAGTGTAGGGAGGAGCAAGGTAAAGAAGGATAATGGGGTCACTAGTAAACTGTGGAGTAATGGAGGACAATATAGAATGACAGGATTGTAAAGTTGGAAGATACCTTAGAGATCTTCCAATCCAACCCCCCCCCACACACACACACTGGTTTGTTTGTTTGTTTACAGTTTAGGATACTGATTCCCAAAGTTGTCACTTGCACCCAAGGTCACATGGTAAATAGCACTGCTGAGAGTAAACAAAGAGGAAATTCTGTCAAAAAGCTACATCCACATCCTTATTTTTCAAATTCCTCTGCATCTTGTGGCTTAAAAAACCATGGAACTGGGTGGGGGGTGGGGTTGGGGGTGGGAGTACATTGTTAGTCTCAGAGCTGTCATCTCCAAGGATGAGTACGGCAGAAATGGATTCCTCATTCCCATATCCAAACAACCCAATTCTCCCTCACTTGACCCTGCCCCTCAGAGGGTTTTTGCTTTTGTCTCTTTTATTAATTTCCATTTCCCATGGAATCTTTGATGAACTTTACAGCTTCTAATCTGCCAAAGAGTCATCGATGTAATTAGGAGCAATACAAATGAGGGCAGCCTGCTCCATACAACTCACAGCCAGTTTGTTTATAGAAGAAAATATTAATCAGCTCCCTTGACTCAGAGCAAACTGCCTGGGATCTCCCCTTTTAGGGAGTGGGAGTAAGGATTTCAGTTCACCTGCTAGAAGCTGAGGGTTTGTCCTAAGAGGTCCATCCATCTAGGCTCAGGATTTATAAGGATGGACACTTTTCCACTGAGCTAAGACCCGAGTTCAAATTCTGCCTCAGACGCCTGTTACCTGTGTGACTCTGGGCAATTCCCTCAGTCTCAATTCCCTAATCTATAAAATGAAGAAATTGGACTCAATGGCCTCTAAGGACCCTTCCAGCTCTAAACTCATAATCCTATAATCTCTAGAATATTCATCCTATAATGTTATGTATTCTAGGTATCTATGCTCATAACTTAACCCCCTACTGCTTACATGGTGGTTGCTAACTCTTTTGTATCTCCATAGCTTCCTTTAAAAAATAATGTTAAAAACTTATTATTGTTACTGGTGGCAAGCACCTGTGATCACTGTATCACAGCTGGGGCTGAGCCTGAGCCCCCCCCCCCCACCCCTGGAAACGGGGGGCCACCAGGCTGCCTAAGGAAGATGAAATCAGCCCAGGCCAGAGAAACAGAGCAGGTCAAAGCTTCTGTGAAGATCATCGGTGGAGTCTGGCTTGTCAATGGACGTGGCATTTCCAACCTGGGCAAGACAGGAAGATCCAATCTTTATTTTTTTTTTAAATTTGCTATTGTTCTGTAAGCACTGGGTTATCTAGTGTTCCTTGAGATCCAAGGAGAAAGTTGTTAATGAGCAGGGGGATCAGGGAAGGCTTCATGGAAGAGGTGGCATTTGAGTTAGATCAGTGATTCATTATAAAATTATAGAGAAAGAGACCAACAGAGTGCTCTAGTATTCAGATGGAATCCAGAGGTGCTGAGAGGAAAGTAGAGTTTGTCCACCTAGGGAAGTAAAAGATTTGATGGGCACTCCTTTGCATTTTTCCTTTTTTTTTTTTTTTTGGCAATTGGGGTTAAGTGACTTGCCCAGGGTCACACAGCTAGTAAGTGTCAAGTGTTTGGTCTGAGGCCAGATTTTAACCCAGGTCCTCCTGACTTCAGGGCTGGTGCTCTATCCACTGCACCACCTAGCTGCCCCACTCCTCTGCATTTTTGATTGTTGAGTGGCTAGGCTACCCAGATTGGATTGGCTGTGTTAGATCTGGCCTCGCTGTTCCTAGTCTTGCTGTCATCAATAGGCGCTGTTTGACTCTCTCCAATGAGTGTGGCTCCCCACCTCCCTCTTTATAATCACAGGCTGCTAATTTATGGGTGTTCTTGTAATCCTCCCCGTCCCGACGTTGCCTTATGTAAACAGCCCCCTGCCCACCAACACAGATCCATTGATCACCATATTTTTTCCTCCTCTTCTATCTCAACAGTACTCTCAACAACAACAACATCAGCCGTATCCCGGTCACCAGCTTCAACCACATGCCAAAGATCCGCACCCTGTAAGTATTTACCTTCTGCTTGTTCCCCTCCTCTACTTATCCCACACCTTCATGCCCATTGCATGCCTCCCCATCCTGAGCCTCCAGGAACTTCTGATGGTGTCACCTGGCAACTTTTTGTTGTTACTGTTCTTCCTTTAAATGCTTTGAGTAGACCCAGGCTTTGTTCTCAGGGCATAAATCTCTGTGCCAAACAAGGGAGCAATGAACCCCTCAATAAAATGGGAAATTTCCCCCAACACATTTAGTTTTTAAGGCTCTTTTAGAAGACTGACCATGCTGGTTGGCAGAAATGGAACTTCTCTGGGGTCTTGGTAGTGGGTAGAATTGAGCTATGTGGCAACGGGCTTTAGCCAAACACACACAGGGCCAAAGTGCAGTAGAACATTGAACCTCTTACCCAGAAATCTGAGCAAAAGCATGAAGCAGCCAGACTGTTGTTTCAAGGAGAATGCAAGCCCCTTGAGGACAGAGATGGTTTCGTTTCTGTCTTTGCATCCCTAGCATCTGGCACACCGTAGGCATTAATAATTGCTCAGTGAATCAACCTGAACTATATGGGCCCATGGAGATTTAAGAATTCCTGGGGACCTCGCTGAAGCCAAATGGTCCATCCCCCTGCCACCAAAGCAGAGCAGCAAGTCAGAGAGATGAGATTCCATTCCGTAAGTCAACGATTTTAAAGATTGGCCCAGTTCCCAGGCTAGCTTTCCAAACTCTTCCCACAGCCACTCATGCAACAATGTAATTGGCGAAATAAAACATAAATTCCTGCATGTGCATTCTTTTCCTTCCTCCTTTAAATGTGTGGAGGATGGAAGAGATGAAGGTTTAAAGAGAAGCTCATTGGGACAACTCCAAGGGCTAAAGCAAATCCTAAAAATAGTGAATGAAGAAGGCAGTCTGTGTCTTGGAGAAGGAAGCAGTGAGCTGCTGCGGGATGGAGTGTATATCTCCCTAGACAAGCGAATTGAATAGAAGAAAAATGACTCTCACCTGCAGAAATTGGCAGGCTGATTCCTGTGGGCTGATAATCAGTGATTTATACTTCCTCTCCTTTGTTGTCCTTTAAGGAGTAGCATTAATAGAAGCCAGGGCTGTTTTCTTGGGAGGGGGGGAAGCGACCCAGAGTTGTTTGGTACATTGTTTTGAGGAGACCTTTGTGTTTGTGGCTGCTGTCATCCCCTCTGATATTCCAGAATACTCATCTGGTGATTTCAGATGAATCAATCAGTCTCTCCCATTCCTCGAGCTGCCTGTCTATGGCCATTTTTTTCTTTAGTTTAATTTCAGAGATGGCTTTGTATATCTCTCCCTGGAGGCGTGCACTGACTAATCCCCCCCTTTCTCTGTAATTAAGGGGGGGAGAGATGGGGCAGAAGGAGGGGGGTGAGGAGAAGAAGGGAAGGAAGTCATAAATAGGATTTATAAAGGGAAGCTTTTATATTGAATTCAGAGAACCACATTTTATAGAAAATGAACACTGACCCCTCTCTAAAAGGATTTGCTGGAAATTTAATTTTGAATCTGTGGCTAAAAGGTACCTTTATAAATTGGCATTTGTATTCATTCACCTTATGTTCTCTAAAGGTGGTTTCATCAATATTGAGTGCACCATGGCAGTCAGGTAATGGTCGTGCAGCAATACGCACTAGTCAGCCACCTCTACCATTCAGTGTATAAATAAAGAAAAACAACAAGGAATAGGGTCACGTGAGGAGAGAAGTCTGGGGCTGGATGGAAATGGTTTACTTCTTCTTTTTAACCATCCATCTGTTTCATCTGTAGCAGAAGGACCATCAAAAGCATAGCACATGGCCAATAAACAGAGCCAAAGAATGGGAGACCCAGCTCTTTTCTGTCTGACTCTTTCCTCGATGCCAGATCTTTGGGAGCCAATACATCTACCCCTATCATCACCCCTGCCATTACTTTTCACAGAAATTATTGAAATCCATTAAAATAATTACACACACACACACACACACACACACACACTCAACCTTAGCTCAGGATTATTAGAAACATTCCTGGCAACATCTAGGGTCAGATTTCATGATCATTTAACTTTAATATTAAAGCTATTTTTTTCTGATGCCTCCTAGCTTCCAAACTAGATCACTCAGGGCAGCTTGGAATAATCAGTCAGGCCAGGCTCCCCCATTAGCTCTGACAGGTAAAGTTCATAAAGGAAGAAATTAACCCCACCTACCACCCCAGTGCTTTAGCCAGAACCTTCATTGCTGTCTCTTAATGTCATTTTGGGAGGCCTCTCTCAGGATCCCCTTTGAAAGTAGCAAGATGGTGCCTTTTGATAAAGAGGTGGTGGACAGTAGATATGGAATGAGGCATACCTTTTCAGGCTTGGCCACTACGTTGATTTGATTTGTGTGCCTTTATTTTATATAAAACAGGGTTCCATTGCATAGAAAAGTGATCATTTTTTGTTTAAAAAGGGGGGGGAGTGGTAATTAAATTTTAAAAAAAGTACAGAGTTCTTTATGAGCCTTTAAAAGGTGTGGGGGGAGATAAAGGAAGGCTCATAGGGACAAGCTGGTGGTGATAAATAAATATGTAACAATTGAAAGAATGCCCAGTGGGACAGGGATCTTCCAAAGGCGGAGGAGAGGGAGAAGGATGAATACAGTTGTAGAACTCTAGACACTTTTTTTTCATTCTCTAAATTAATCAGCTCAGTAAGAATCTGGATAAACCTTCTTTCGTTATTGCATTGATCTCTTACCCTTGATTAGAACTGACAAGAATTAGCCTGCATCGATCCCCCTCTCTCCATTTTTTCTTCTTGTTGTTCCTTTCTCAAATGACTTTATTTATGCTTATCATTCGGCTCAGTGTTCATTTCTTAAATGGTGAATCTCCTGTGGTCCCTCCATGGTAAGTGACGGCAGCAGGAGGCAATAATCACCTTTACAAACCCAAATGGAACTCTGATGGAAAGGTCTTTGGGTCCCTAAAGCACAAAGGAATGCCTCAGTCCCCAAGTCTAGCTGAAGCCTGTCCAGCACTTCCTTGTTGTTCCTGATGACTTATTTTTGAGTGAGGTTTCACTCTGATTGTTTTCCATCACTGCTGATGGTTCCAAATCCCATGTAGCTTCCAGGCTAGCTGACAGTAGAGCAGTCATCAGTAGGTTTTGGGCCAAAGAATTAGAGCTTCTGCAAATAGACTTTTTAACTAGACTCCCTATAGGAAGAGAAGGGAAAAGGAACATCCCCTTGTTTCAATATTGATGTGAAGGTGTTCAACTAATGAAAGATAACTCATTCCTTCCCATCCCATCAAGCATGTTGATTTCAGAATCAATCAATCAACTGATCAGCAAGGGGAAAGGGGAGGGAAGGGAAGACACATTTATAAGTGCCTACTATGTGCCAGCGACTATGCTGAGCGCTTTACAAGTAGTATCTCATTTTAACAAGCATTTATTAAGCTCTTTATACATTCCAGACATTGTTTTTAGGCACTAAGGATACAAAGCCAAAAATGAAACATTTCTGCTCTCAAGGGTGGGTGGGGACAATTTGAGAAGGAAAAGATGAGGATGACACCCAGGTTATGATCCTGGGAGACTGGGAAGATGATGATGCCCCTGACAGAAATAGGGAAATTCAGTAAAGGGAAGAAAGATAATGAGTTCTATTTTAGACATGTTGAATTTGAGATGTTTTTGGGACGTCTAGTTTGAAATGCTTATTAGGTAGTTGGTGATGATGGGACTGAGCTCAGGAGAGAAACTGGGGCTGGATATATAGATTTGTGAGAGGCACCTGAATACTAACTTCAACTCTGCCATCGTATCACTAAAGTCATCCTTTCCCTCCATACACTGAGCTCTCAAATAAAATTTAACAAGCAGTTATTAAATGCCTATTATATTCAGAGTACTGTGTTTGGTGCAAGGGGTGGAAGAAGATATGAAGATTAGATAAGAAACTGTTCTCACCTTCATGGAATTTACAAGACAGCAGGGAGAATAAGATGTACAAGGATAATTATAATGCACATAATATATTATTCTAAGTATGTTAGTGTGGCAAAAGGAAGGGCCACAGGAATTGAGAGCTGGCTCCAAAACCCACAGACTCAGTCATGGTCCCAGGATTCTTCTCCAACCCAGTCTGGAGCAGTAAGACAAGAATTTGACTCTGTTGGGGAGGGGCCAGGTTGTCTCTGCATGAGCTGTGAGCTGTGGATAGAGAGGGCTCTCCCTAGGATTGAAATTGACAAGGGCTCTGTGTGTGTATGTGTGTATGCATCATTACGGCTTGCACTTATGTCTCTACCGGCACATTAGTGGAAGTCTACTGCACTCAGGCAACATTGTTGAACTTGATGTCAGTGAAGTATGTTGGAGAGCCCTTCAGCCCGCCCTGTTTCAGACAGGGTTGTCTGGAGTCCTTCAGGCAACGGCTTTAGTGTTGCTTAACAGGCTTGGCTCGTGGGTTAATTAAAAGTCTTCAGATACCTTTAATTGATTAACATTTCCAGGGTTAGACATTGGAAACTTGGATCGAGAGCCTGTGCTTTTGATTAGCTGACGTGAACGAAACTCACCTGCCACCATTAGAATGCTGCTTTTAGTAACCCAGAGACAGTTGGAATGACCCGTTAGAAATCTGAGATTTCCCCTCAGTTCCTTCTCACTCCAGTGAAAAGAAAGGCCCTATGGTGGAAACTTTAGAAATTTCTACAGATGCCTTGTGCTTTGCCTCCAATTAGTGGAGATATAAGTCACTCAACTAAATGTGGCCTTGCTTTAAACTTGACACATATCACCCCTCCCCCTTTCTCCCTTACTGGGAAGGGGTGGCATTCACCCCACCCCACTCCTACCTCCCATCCTACAGATACAGCAAAATGATCCCAAGTCCCAGGAGCTATATGGGTGAATGGAAAAGGTTATAGGCTCCAGCCTGTAGAGAAAGCTTAAGACAAGCAGTAAAGGAAAAACTCCAGGTGCCTTTGAACTTGAGAAGGAGAAAGAGTGAGTGTGTGTGTGTGTGTGTGTGTGTGTGTATGTATGTGTGTGTGTGTGTGTGTAGTGGGTTAACAGGAGCCTCTGTATAAATTAGAATCTCATTTTGATAATACCTTTGAAAAAATGCAAGGATGAAGAAGGGATACTTCAATAATAAGAATATTCCTTTTTGACCTTTTCTTGTCTTATACAGCCCAGTTCTCTGATGATAAAGTTGTGTTGTGATCCCAAGAATGCCAAGCAATCTGTGCCGAATTCAGATGCTTAAAAGGCATTTAGGGGGAAAAAAAGGTGGGAGAAGAATGGAAGAGGTCCTAGCCCAGCATCTGGTCCTCCAGAGCTTTTTTTTCCATTTCTATACCAAGGGCATAATGATTTAACAGCAGAGAGGGAAATGTTTTCTCCCTGCTTGTCAGATTTTCCAGGCTCATAAATTAACTACACCATGGTAATGGGAGAAGGTGCCACAGAGATTCTAACCACCTGGATTCAGGACAGTGGATTCTGTGCATTTCCCTTAGATGCGCCCTATTCAACTCAAAGCTTGGCTCCGGAGACTTGACCAGGAGGGCAGTTTGAGGGCCCCCTCCCCCTATTCCATCCTGGCTACAACCACGTGTTTCTCTCCCTTGCCTTCTCTGCAGGCGACTCCACTCCAATCACCTGTACTGTGACTGCAGCCTGGCCTGGCTCTCTGATTGGCTACGGCAGAGGCGATCCATTGGCCAGTTCACCCTTTGCATGGCTCCTGTGCACCTGAGGGGCTTCAGTGTAGCTGATGTTCAGAAGAAAGAATATGTGTGCACAGGTGAGGGTGCTATCTTCTCTCTTCCCCTTTCCTCCTCTCCCATGATTTCTTACTATCTCCCTTAGCCATCACATTAGAATTAGACAAACACAGACACACAGAAAATTATAATAGCACTATGTAGAAATCCTGTAGTCTTCTACAGATAATAAAGGGAGTATCCCCACTGGGGGGGGGGTGTTCCTGTGCCAATGTAATTATAGGTCCAGTCTAAAAAAATGTTGCATCAGTTCCATTACAGATTTTGAGAACTGTGTTGTGTAAAGATTGTACTTTTGAGGGGCGGAGACAGAAAGGAAGCTCATTGTTTGGTAATCTGAGGAATTCACCCTGACCTTTGATCACACCCCATTATTTATTAATTTTAGAATTGTTCCCTGTGGAAAACTCACAAAAGAATATGGACAAGAATCACACAGCATGGTCAGTCACTAAATGGTGGTTTAGTGCCCTATGTCACTGGAAAGAGTATGCCCATTTCAATGAGATCACAGATCACTTAGGCCATTGGAGGAATTTATGAAGCATCCCTGAGACAGATAAAATCAACGGCATAGTGGGTTTCACAAAGTTTATTAGAGTTGTTCCCATTTTCTAGGAATTTCTACTGTAGTGGGTAGACAAGATGAATCCAGCAGCTCTATATGGATACATTAAATAAAACAAATGCAGAAATTACCTAGGATATATAAGTAATGAATCACTATCTAGATCCATGATTGAAAATTGCTTAAATGTATGGAAACGGTAGGTGACTCTGGGTCAAATGGAGAAGACTTTCTGGAAGTAGGTGACTTTAAAAAAAAAAAGTGTTCTTGTGTTTTTTTGTTTTTTTTTTCAACTCATTGCTGACATCTGCTGCTTCCACACAGGCAGCTTCCATTCCCAATGGGAAAGGTCCTCCAGGTCCCTTCTGAAAGCCAGAGCATTTGATAGTGAGATAAAGTAGACTTTCCAGTTAATCCAGTCATGGAAATAGCTGCTCTCTGGTTTCGCTGTCTCTAACAATTCTAGTTTCTTGGTGCTAAGACCAAGCAAAGGGAGTAACAGAGTTAGCCTCATGAATAAGCCAGGTGAGAGTTAGAAAAGCAAAACCAAGGAGTTTATCCATGAATGGGATCAATTGTTACCTAAACAGGAAACTGCCCTATTATGATGTGTCATCAATGCTTTTGTGCTAGGTACTGAGAGGAGTAGTAATGATGATGGTCATTATAATAGCTGCAGCCACATTGATGTTCTTTGGGGTTTACAAAGTGCCTTTTTTAAGCAGGAATATTATCTGTTCTTTGCAAGCTCAATGTAGATCCGTGTGTAATATACAAAGAAACATATGGATTATTGCATTGCTTAGAATTAATTCTACTTTTCTTAGGATCTGAGAAACAGTGAACCATAGTAGATAGAGGGCTAGCCTTAGAGACAAGAAGTCCTGGGTTCAAGTCCAGTTTCTGACTTGCTATATGACCATGGACAAAGCAGTTAACCTTTCAGTACCTCCGGGTCACTCTCTAAGACTACCAGTTATAGAGAATTAGTCAATCAATAAGAATTTATTAAGTGCCTACTAGGTACCAGGCCCTCTTGAGAAAGAGCTGATTTTCATCAGTGGAGAGAATTTCCACACCAAGAATCCGTCCCAATGAACTCACAAGTCCAGACAAAAACAAAACAAAAATCTTTGTTCTAATTGCTTTTCAAGTGCCTTCAGCTTCATCAAATGTCTAATCTCTAAAGAGATTTTAACATTTCTCATAGCACCACCTAAATAAATTCCTGTAGACGCTAATAATTCCCACACCCACTTAGAAATAACTACCCATCAAACACATATAATAAAACCTTTTTATCACACAGGCATCAAATTCAGATATAGTCACTATAATTACAGTAATTATTAGGTAAAGGGTACAATATCTACATAAGTGCCAGTGAAAGAAATAATTATACAGTGCAGAAACCATACAACGGCTAGTGAGAAAAACTAATTAGAGAGAATGTTAAAACACATCATTATGGTAGTGTGCCAAATTTAATACAGCACAATCAGATGAACACAGTACTGTCAGTCTCAGCTTTTCCATCAGAGCATACTATGTCGTTGCCACCCAGGTCACAGGGAAAGACTGTGGTGAGAGTCCCCAGACCAGAATGAGAAGCATGCTCTCTTAAGTCTCCAATGTGAGCATTCCTCCTTTTGCAGATGTCTTGGTATGATGATGATGTCTAGATACGAGCTTTATAATTACCTTCCTTACTCATAGTAATTAACCTTACCAGCTCATGAGCTTCTCCATATAGCCCCTTGATAACTAAGCCAGGTGACACTTTAGCACATGAGAATTAAGTTCTTAGATCCCAGATTCCAGGAGGGTATTAATCCTACCTTTTCTCAGCTGCAGTCCACATTTAAGCAATACTCACTTTATCACCTACAGAACCATCCCAGAGATTCTAAATTAGCAATGTGACATCTTCTATACACACCAAAGATTTACAATTCTCTCAGTGCCTTTTAAGGGTGATGGAAATGGACTGGCATAAAAAGGTGAAGAATGAGCGAAAATAGGAGTGAAAATAGGAGACCTGGGCCATGACACAGAACTATGTTAAAAATCCAATGCCAGCTCTGAGTAGAGGTCAAGGTCACTGGCAGCTATGGTAGACTGGGCAAAGACAGCATTATTGGCCTTAATGGTAATGGACCACCAGAGGCTGAGGGTTTAGGTTTGTTGGATTTTTTTAAACCTTCAGAGCCACAAAAGCTCCATGTTATTACTGCTCCTCTAACATTTCACTGGGGAAAATTTCCTTTTGGAAAAGCAAGAACAGAACTTCTCTGGGAAAGTTCATTTTCTTCTGTCAGGGGCATCTGATAGGCTGAGGGGATGGGAGCTGGAAGAGTCAATTAAGCCATCCCAGGAGTGTAGTTTTGTCCCTGAAACCCTCGTCACTACAGCAGAATAAACCACCCTGAGCCCTTACATGGTAATGAGAAATTCACCTCACACATTACTCAGCAGATAGGGAGAAAGCTTTATCTTGCTCAGTCGGCCAGGGCCCTCCCTTCTCTATGTTCTTGTTATCTCTTTGAATTCAATCCAGCAGTCTGGTTGGTGACTGACCTCTTCTCAGAAGCCCAGAATATGAGTTTCTTATCTCTAGTCAACCTAGAAATTTGCTCACAGAGCACTTCACTTTAATTCCAGTCCCCCTGATAAATGCACCCTCCCATTTAAACGTACTTATTTTATGCACTCAGGGGAGGTGATTGGGAGTTGGTGGAAAGGTTGTCTCAGACTCTTCCTTTTTTAAAGGAGTTTTTGCAGTTGTCTAAGTATTCCCTCCCCATCCTCCCCACTCTCCATGTTTGGCTTCCTTCAGATAAAGGTAAAGGAAACTCCTTTCATAATTTTTCTTAGTTAAAGATGAAACGTAGAACCCTAGGCCTATAAGGAAACTTGGAAGGTTCTGCCCATTGAAAGGACCATCCCCAAATCCTACCATTGAGGAGGGGGCTTCTCCTGTCAAAGGTACATGGAAGTAGATGATGCCTTGGTGACCAACTCCAATATTATTTGACCTACAGGTTCTTCCTTTACTCTATCCTAAATGATTTTGGTAGAAACCTACCTAAAGGGAGTAAATGGGGACCATGTATTAGGTTTTCTGGACACTTTATTCCAGGAGAATCCCCATCTTTTTTCCTCACAGTCATAGTTTAAAAATCTAAGGTAAAGACTTCCAAGTTCTTGGCCAGGCTGTGCTTAAGTCACTTCTACCTTCAGCATCTTTAATTCCTTAGACATAGATGAGAAGATTGAACTAAATTATCTCTAAGATACCTCAGAGCTTTAAAATTCCATGTTTTTCCTCCTCTAGATTCTTAAAGCACTTACTATCAATGTAAGCAGTGGAAAGAATACTGCATTTTTTCATCAAATAACCTGAGTTCATATCTCAGATCTGCTAGATTACTTTGGGCCAGTCACTTGATTTGGGGTTGGGGGAGGAGGGCGAAATTTACCTATTTTTAAAATTAGGAGGTTAAGCTAGATGACCTAAGGTTACTTCTGACTATAAATCCATGAGGCTATGATCATTTTTGACAATTATCAAAAACCACCTTACATTTTTAATTCCCTTTCTTATATGTATTTATCTTATCTTGTCTTCCTTACTTAATCTAAATTCCTTGTGAAAAGGGACTTATCATATAATTTTTTACATCCCCTCCTAGCCCTGGACCTAGCACATACTAGGTACTCAGTAAATACCTGTTGATTGATTGATTGACAAAAATAGAATAGGCAATGTCCTTGTGTGTGTTTTGTTCAATTTTTTTTTCTGAGACCAAATACTAAGGCTAAAATGAATTAAGAAGGTGAACTTTGACTAGGCACAGCCTCCTTGGTAGATTTTAATTAATGTGCTATAATTGGACATCACAAGAAAGAGATTATTAGGTTTATTTAGCCATTTCCAAACTTATAATGCCTCTGGCATTTAAATCATATTCATTTATATTCTTTCCATAATTGCTCCCACACCGTTGTCATTGCAATCCATTGTTGGCTTTTGAAAGGCCAGAGGCCAATGGGGATGCTTAATTTGAAAACAGGAATTAATTTATTTCTGTACACGCATGGGTCCTATAGATTTCTCCACTGTGGGTACACTGCAGTATGAGGTTTGAAAACAAGGAAATAAAGAAAGTGAGTTATAATGCAACAGAAGGGTTCAATCATCCTGGTGTGCAAAGTGAAAAGATGGGACCATTAAACAATAATCCAGGGGCCTTTCCAGCTCTGACATTCAATGACTCTATGGCCCTGAGTCACACAGAGCTTAGATACCCAGCCAGTGTCTAGACTGCTCAGTGCCGCCTACTCCTCCTGTCCTTTGGGATGCCAAGGACATTTTTAATCCTAAAGCAAAGAAAAGAGCAGTTTGGGGTATTTGCTGTCCACTCTGCCATCTATAAACTCTGACTCAAAGTT